TCTCTTCTTTACCAAGTCCATTTTGGTTTCACACATTTATTGTGTTCTGGTGCTTGCCGAACAATGGGTAGACATAAAAGGGTTAATGTGCGTATCGCTGCCAGGTAGTAGCTCCGCAGCGCAAAGCAAATATGTAATAAAGGTGCATAAAAAGAGTTAACTGATCCTTTGTAAAGAGTGAGAAGAGAGAAAGGGTCGGGTTGAGTTGAGTTCGGGAAAGGGTTGTTTCGCTGCCAGCAATAAAACTGAAAAAGTCAATTGATAATAATGAAGAGTTAATTTCAGTAGTTGCAATGGCAAAAGAGTTATTATGGGCTGTAAATAATGGTAGATAATATGGAGAATTTATAGAAAATCTATCAGAAATTTTAAGAGCCTCGACACAATTTATGACAGACGTAAATTTTGGCACACTCAGACGAAACAATTACTCCATATTGAACGCCTTTTTTCTCTACTTATATGTGAATATATGCATATACATATGTATACATGTGCTTGTATATACATAAATATAGCCCACCTCTCATATAAATTAACAACTTCAACTGTTAAAGGCTCCGCCCATGCTAAATAAAATGAGCAACTGTTAAAAATGAAGTCAATGCCTCTGTGTGTGTGTTTGAGAGAGTGTGAGTGTGCGAGAAAGCTTAGCTGCCCTTAACGTGTGAGTTTTAATAAATAACCGAATAACGAATAATATCAGAGCAATGCAAATTGAGCGAGCTCCAACAAAGAGCGTGCGCGCACGAGCGAGCGTGAGAGTGCGAGAGAGACGGCTGACAGCTGAGCTGAGCTGCGCGCCTCATTCATTCAACAGAATAACAGAGCGGCTAACAGCGCCTTAACAGTCACTCAGGTAAACTGTTGTTGTGAGAGCGCTGCACAATTGAGTGAACTCTGGCTGTGGCTGTTGTTGTTGCTGTTGCTCTTGCTATTGCTGTTGGTGGTGGTTTTTAATACATGAGCACGATCGAGTCAGATGCTGAGACTGTGATTTATCAGAGAGAGAGACTACAAAACTCGTTGCTACTGCTGGTGGTTAGCGTGTGTGAGTGTATGTGTGTGTGCTTGGAGTATTGCTAGCTGCCGTTGCATATGTGTGTGTGTATATAGGCACTGGGAGTTAGCCAACCGAGCGACACACAGAAATGCTTCTTGCCAGCGACGAGTTTGAGCAAGAAATCAGTCGTCAGCTAGTAGCCCAGGTGTGAGTTACACACATCGTGAGTACAGAGCGCGTTGCGTGTAAGCCGAAGCAAGCAAAAACAGTTACAGTTCAGCGAGTGTCAGCCACCAATCAAATACAAAAACCACAAACAGACAGAGACTGATCCACAAAGATCAAACAGTGCTAAACGAAAAAGCAGAAAGTGTTGTGAATAGTTTAACTTAAGCCTAACAAACTGCCGCGTGCAATTAAAAAGTCATCAGCTATAAAAAACACAAACACACACAAAGTTCTATACGCAAAAACCCAACGGAACCCAAGGTAAGTTCGCAAGATCAAATCAAGAGGAAAAACGCGCCCACACCCAAAGTCAATTCACGTTTTCTATTCTTGTGTTTGTCTTCTTTTTTTTTTTTGCTGAGCCGACGGCATATTTTATGAGCCCTGTTTGCACTACTTTGATTTTTTACTATTTCATGCGAAAAAATAAAACAAACACACACACACACATAGATAGAGAGTTCAGTGCGGGCGAACATCTTTTTTTAAATTTTATGATTTTTATTTTGGGCGCAAAAAAATTGCCAACATATTTTAATGACACAACGTCAAGGTCCTAGGACTCTCAACATATTTTTTAGGCATAATGACTTCATGTAAAAAGAAAAAAAAAAAAAAAACAACAAGAGTTTCTACCTGCACAAATAGGGTTGCATAATCCCCGGCAGCTTAAGTTTTTTGCCTGCCCACGCAGCTGATCGTAAAAAAAGACGCAAACATTCGCCTTGCAAACTATTTCCTATAAATGCTCGGGCTGGACACGGTTCGAGCATCAGTCGCACAGCAGCACAGCGAACGAACAGAACGCGGAAAACGTAACGAAAAGTGCCGGAAAATCGCAGAACACGCACAGTTAGCTATTCGCAAAGAAAACAAAACCCAACACAATTACAAATCGCAATCGATCTGAATTGGCTAGCTGCCAAAGATGGTGTTCAACTTGGTTAGTTTACACACAACGCTAAATGGATTATTATTTATTAAAAAAAAAGAAAAACATACAACAACAAAAAAAGTGCCACAAGTTGAGAATGAAATGAGCAAAACGGCAAATCAGCCCGCAGTGAATTCAATCAACGCTTTCATTCTGATAACTCTTTCATCAGCAACTGCTCAAGTGCCTCAGCTTCTTCTCTCCCTCGCTTCAATGGACTTAACTAACTCTCCCTCTCTCTCTCTCTCGCTTTACAGATGAATCAGACGTGCAAAGTGTGCGGTGAGCCCGCGGCGGGTTTTCATTTTGGCGCCTTTACCTGCGAGGGCTGCAAGGTAAGTTCGCTCTCCACCCCAAACACAGCCACACACTCAACAACTGTGTCTAGCCTCCTTAACACTTTTGACTAACTCTTTCCCCCTTCGCCTCTTTCTCACTCTCTCTTCTGCAGTCCTTCTTCGGCCGCTCGTACAACAACATCAGCACCATCAGCGAGTGCAAGAACGATGGCAAGTGCATCATTGACAAGAAGAACCGCACCACATGCAAGGCCTGCCGCTTGCGCAAGTGCTACAACGTGGGCATGTCCAAGGGCGGCTCGCGCTACGGACGCCGCTCCAATTGGTTCAAGATCCACTGCCTGCTGCAGGAGCACGAGCAGGCAGCAGCCGCGGCTGCCGGCAAAGCGCCTGGCCATGCCACTGGCTCGCCCATGAGCTCACCCGGATTCGGTGATCTGGCCGCACATCTGCAGCAGCAGCAACAGCAGCACCAGCAGCATCAGCAGCAACAGCACCAGCAGCAACAGCACCAACAGCGTCATCCCCACTTGCCACCGCTGCTCGGCTATCCCGGCTACCATCTGCCCGAGCACTTTGGAGCACGCCATCCCGCAGATGCGGCCGCTGCCGCCGCCGCGCTGCCCTTCTTCAGCATGATGGCCACGCCACAGTCAGCGTTCCAGCTGCCGCCGCATCTGCTCTTCCCGGGCTATCATGCCAGCGCCGCGGCGGCGGCTGCTGCGGATGCTGCCTACCGGCAGGAGATGTACAAGCATCGCCAGAGCGTCGACTCTGCCGCCTCGGCCGAATCACAGAGCCGTTATACGCCGCCCACTGCTGTCCGCCAGCACCAGCAGCAGCATCCCCAGCCAGCGGCGTCGCCCATTGACGTCTGCCTGGGCGCCGACGATGATGTGCAGTCGCAGCACAGCCTCACGCTCAGCCACAGCCACAGCCACAGTCACAGCGCCAGCCTCAGCCACAGTCACAGCCAGAGTCCACACACCATACACACGCCAGTTGCCATACGTGCCACGCCGCCAGAGCCAGAGCCAGAGCCAGAGCCAGAGGCCGAGCAGCTGCTGCCAGTCGCTGCTGCGTCCATTTCCATCTCCGCCTCCAACTGCAGCACCCACTCGAACAGCGCCTCGCCCACACCGAGCAGCAAATCGCAGAGCAGCAGCCCGCTGAGCTTCACAGCCAAGATGCAATCACTTTCACCTGTCTCGGTGTGTTCCATTGGCGGCGAGACAGTCGCAGCGGCCGCAGCAGCAGCAGCAGCCGCGGCCGCCGCTGCCGCCCAAGACGGACCCATGGATCTGAGCATGAAAACGTCGCGCAGCTCGGTGCACAGCTTCAATGACAGCGACGTGTGCAGTCTGCAGGATGAGCATGAGACGGCGCCGCGTCGCAAGTTTTGCCAGCTGGAGGCCGAGTGCAGCACAGCGCACACCAGCAACAGTTGCAGCAGCCACAGCAGCAGCCACAGCAACAGCTCCACATCCTCCACTGAGGCAGCGGTGGCCGTCAAGCGGCAGAAGCTCAACGCCATTGGCGGTGACTCGCCGCCGTTTGGTGGTTTCGCTATGACCCACAATGCGGCCAGCGCCATGCGCTTTGTCTGTGTCTAGTGTGGTTTGCTTGGTGGGTGGAGCCAAAAAGGCAATCAACTCATTTGCCTCGTCGTCGCTGCCGCTGTTGTTGTCGTTGTTGTTGTT